AGACCCTCTCACCAGTCCATACGCCCCAGGGGCTATGTCTACCTCAGGAAACCACCTTTTTCTAATGTATACAAAGGTGTCACTAGGCTAGGAGCTGTTCTGAAGAGAATCAAAGCTTCTACAGAAGTCACAAGTGTCAAGACAGGAGAGCAGCCTTGTCTACTCCCCACTCACACGTAGTTAACAGTCCCCTATTTTCTAAAATCACTCAAATCCTGAAAGAAGGAAACTGTGATTAGGTGGACATTTTCACTTGTATGGAATAAACAGTTCATCAGGGAGCAGTTATAGGAAGGCTTGCTCCTCCAGAGTTCTGAAGGAAACATTGCACACAGATATAGCAGGAAGACCTGGGGATCCAGATCCACAAAGGTGGCCATGCTTGTCTGTCTCAGTCCTTCTCTGTGAAGAGAGACTGTGGATCTTCTTGGTTTGTTTTTTCCCCCCTCACAAAGATGTATTCTGTGGTAGGAAGAATTCTAAGATGCCAAGATTCCAGCCCCTTGGTGTACATGCCTTCTATAATCTCATCCCTTTGAGTGTGGGTGGGACCCGTGTATGTGACAGGATATCACTCACATGATTAACGTTATGGGGCAAAAAGGAATTTTCAGATGAAATTAAGGACCCTAATTAGTTGACTTTGGGTTCCTCAAAAAGGATATTGTCCTGGATGAGCCTGATCTAATCAGGCAAGCCTTTAAAACGGACGGAGAGAAAGCAAACAGCCATGTTGTGAACTGCCGCGAAAAGACCACATCACTGGGACCAGAGGGATGCCTCTAGGAGCTGCAAGTGATTCCTGGCCAACAGTGAGCAAGAAAATGTGGACTCCAGTCCTATGACAACAAGGAACTGAATTCTGCCTGCAGTCAGTGAGCATGGAAAAAAAAAAAACAAAAAAAACCCGCTGAGCTTCATATAAGCTCCGAGCCCCAGCCAGCACTTGTATTTTAGCCTGATAAGACCCTTAGCAGAGGGTCTCCCTGCCCTGGGGACACTGAGCTCATAAATTTGTGTTGTATTTAGCTACTACATGTATGTTAATTTGTTATGCAGCAAAAGAAAGCTACTGCATATATGAAGAGAGACTGTGTCCATAGGGTGGGTTGGCTCCATTAGGAGACTGACAACCACACAACACAACTGAGCCCCACAGGCAGGCAGCGACAGGGCAGGCTGAGGTGATATGACCCTTGCTGCTCCTCAGACCCAGCTTCACCATGGCCCAAGCCTCCCATAGGATATAGGACCATAACTCATTTCCTCCTTTCCTCCTTTGAGAGGGCAAACTTCAGACCTGAGAAATCAAAACACAATAGAAGCCACACAGAACAGGTAGAACTTACTTTCTGAGCTGGTCATGGCACTAAGTCTGCTCAGGATTCCTACCCCTGGTGGCAGATCTGTCCCTTCCTTGGCCAAGTAGAACTTTAGCCTCTCAGATACTGAGCTAGTGAAGCTGAATGGGCACTGATGGATCACTCCTCACGAGGGCCTCTTAGAAGCAGGAAGGCGGAGGATGAGAGGTGGAAGGAGAAGAAAAAAAGGAGAATTTTATTCAGCAAACAAATATTTATGGTGCTCCTTACATGGGCAGCTCTGTTCTAGGCACCCCAGTGACACACAGTTAATAAAACAAAACTCCATGCACTCCAGCGAGAGAATATAGACCAGTTAATAAAACAAAAATCTAAGAATATAGTATGGAGTGATAGAAAGCAAAAGAGAAGCTGGAAGGGAAAGGGTTTGGAAAGGGGTATTAGGAGTACAGTCAGGGACTTTTTAAGTTTGAGAAGCCTATTGGACACCCAGTGGTGCTATTGAGTATACAGTAAGATATTCCATTGTGGAGTCTGGGGAAGAATTGGGGATGGAGATATAAATTTAGTATCTAAAACATGAGATCAGATGAAATAAAAAGGGAGTATATGTGGATAATGAAGTCTGAGGGTAAATCCTGGGACTTTCTGACATTACAGTATCACAAAGAGAAGAAAGAACCAGTGTCTAAGTTCAGGCTTCCATAGCAAAATGGAAGACTTGGGTTGGGGGGGCAGTTAAACAACAGACATTTATTGCTCATGGTTCTAGAGGCTGGAAGTCCAAGATCAAAGTGCTGGCAGATGTGGTTCCTGGGAAGCCCTAACCAAGATTTGCAGACAGCCACCTTCTTGCTGTATCTTCACATGTCACAGAGAACAAACAATGGCTTCTCTCACAAGGACACTAAGACCATTATAGGGACTCCACCCTCAAGACCTCATCTAAACCTAGTTAACTCCCAAAGGTCCTACCACCAAATACCACCACACTTGGGTTTAGGGCCTCAATATGAGAATTTGGGAGAGGGGGTTTTGTGCTGACAGCTCAGAGCCTAGAGCCTGTTTTGGATTCTGTGTCTCCCTCTCTCTCTCTGCCCCTCCCCCACTTGCATTCTGTCTGTCTGTCTCTCTTTCTCTCACTCTCTCTCCCCCCGCCTCTCTCTCAAAAATACATTAACATTTGAAAAAAAAAAAGAATTTTGGAGAGGGGGACAAAATCATTTGAGGGCACACCAACGAGCAAAAGTGTTGAGAAGGAAGAGGCAGTGAGGAAGGAGAAAAAGCAAGAGAGTGTAATGTTCTAGAAGCCCAAGAAAGAGTTTCAAGGGTAAGAGACTGGTCATCAGGGTCAAATGTTGCTGACAGGTGGAGTTGAGGCTAAGAGATAACTGTCAATTTAACATGCTATTTGGGATCTTGACAAGAATAGTTTTGATGGAGTGATGAGGATGACAGCCTGATTCAGGTAAGTTTGAGAGAGACTGGAAGGAGAGAAATTAGAGGCAGGAAGTACAGACGACTCTTTTAATGAGCTATGCAGTAAAGAAGAGTAGAGCAGTGGGGCAGAGCTGCAGGGAACTATGATGGGAGAAATTAGAGCGTATCTGTATGTTGATGGGAACACGGGATAATGACATAATGAAAATGTGTACAGTCATTCTCTGTTACACAAGAAAATAGAAATAGTGTGGCTCATTGGATAAGTTTACTTAGACTGTATGTCATAGCTGACATACATGAGAACATGTAAATTCTAAAACACAATGAACACCCACAAAGCCATCATCCACACCAAGAGCTGGACCACCACCAATCACATCTATCTATGTGCTCCTCCCCTCTCCCGACCTTCTGCCTCTCAGAAGAAAGCAACTTCAGTGCTTTCGTGGTTATCATTTCCTTGTAAAGTCATATTCCCTTCACTACAATCTATTGAATTTATTGACTGATATTTCAAGGAAGACTTCTCCTCTGCCCCTCAACCTACCTTCCACAGACAGACATCAGACCACCTTGGTCAGTATCATGAAATTCCTTTCGTACATTGAACCTGCCACACTAAAAGTCCATTCTTCATCTTCCATCTCCAGGTGGCTACTGCTTTACCAGAAACACCCTTCTTTGACATGAAGATCATATTATTCATTCTTCTCTGTATCACATCCTCCACATGAAAGCAGGAAGAGACACGCACACCATCTTCACTCATGCACACACAGAACAGACCCTGATGGCCATCACATCCTTTTTCTCCTGCAAGATACACCTGCAGCCCTCAGAGCTCCAGTGTCGCCTTCTAGTCCTAAAGCACACCCTTCGGGGGCAGGTGCCAATGTCTGATGGCCCCGCCACAGACAGCTCAGGAAAGCAGTTGATGGCCAGTTGTTAAGTTTCTTTTATCCCCACATCACCTATGGGCACTTGGCCATCCTCAAATCATCCAGGACTCCCCAGAGTATGCAGGGACCTGCAAAACTTTGACAAATGCCAAAAGACTGGGCCCTTTACAAATGGAAGACAGCAGGTTCTGAGAAGCCTTCTGCATGCATAATCCAAACACCCAGCCCCCATGCTTACTCACTGATGCTTGAAATTGCTTTAAGGAGAGACAACAGGCTTTCATCTCACAACTGGAGAAAGCCTTGAAGGCCCTGGATGAACAAACTCAATGATTTACACTAGCGAATGGTAGCGTGTAAAAGGACTTTTCAGACTGTATGATGCAATGGACATCTTTTAAAATGAGTGTGAAGTGACAAGAGGTAAGGCAAAAAAAAGATGGGTCTTTTCTTGCCTCCTTGGGAGTGTAAAAAAAAGAAGATCTGGAATAAAATTTGTCCTTATCACCAACTGTTGGGCCACAGGCAAGTTACTCAAACTTTTGAACTTATTTCTAAGACAAAGGTACCTTTGTAAAGGTAAATACCTGAGGTAAATACCTCCAGAGTTACTGTGAGACTTTAATGCCATGCTACATGGTGAAGATTTTTCTTCTTTCCCTGTTGCCTCAGGCATCTCGAGCTCTGCTCACATCCATACTAACACTGTCTCCCTCTCTTAGCATTATAGAGATTAACAATGAGGAATCTGCAACCACGCAACACCGTTCAAATCCTAAATCTATCACTTGCTGTGATCTTGGGCAAGTTACTTGACCGCTCTGTGCTGTTTCTTCACCTGTGAAAACGGAGATAATAACAGTACGTGCCTTGTGGGGAGATTGTAAGGATTAATACGTGTCATGCACTTGGAGATCCTTTCGGCACACAAAAAGAGCACTGCAAGAAGTGCTCGCTACAATTATTCCCAAGGGCTTCACCTGCCCACTTTCTACAATCGAAAACATCATTTTAAGCTTCTCCACTTCCGCTCTTTAATATACAAAGCCCACTGTAAACTGCTACACATTGCTCCAGGTTTCCTAACGCCCCCAGCCCTAATCTTGAACAGCCAGGCCATCTGGTCCTCCCACCACAAGCTAACCCCAAGCAGTTCTCAACTCTCCCAGCCCTGCAAGGTCTGAATTTCCGCCACCCAGACTCCGCTGGAAGGTGGCGGGCGCGGGGGCGGGGCGCCGCGGGAGAGAGGCAGGAGGGTTGTGGGAGGGCAGCTCTGTGACGTCACGCCAAGGCCCCTCCCCCGCGGTTGCCAGGCAACGCAGCGCGGCGTCGGGGTTGCCAGGGGAAGGCGAAGCGCTAACAAAGCCTGGTCCGGCCCCACCTCTCCTGTCCCTCGAGCCCAAAGCTGGTACCGCCTTTCCCCTCCCAGATTCTGCGGCTTTCCCCAGCCCCACCAAGGGTGTGTGGGACTCCATCTGTCCCTACACCTCCTTCCGCCTGAGGCCAGGCACAAGGTGTCGCCTCGTCCCCGACAGCTGACAGCCGGTTTGAGAGCGAGCCTCAGGTAGCAACCCCCAAGGGAAGAAGAGGGAGGGAAGGGCCCCGAGCCCCTACCCCTACCCCGCCCCCCTCAGGGCTGCCTGGGTCTGAGGAAAGAGTCCTGCCCTTGCACTCACCTGGATTCTGAATCCCTCTTTGTTCACAGAGCGAGAGAAGGGGGCTGTGGTCTTTAAGAGAATATAATCATGGGAGATTACTGCTCTGTACCCAAACTATGTGTATATTTTGTACTTAGAGCTACTACTTTACGATTTCTTACACAGACTACAGTAATTTGAAAACGTAATGGAATCTTGAATCAGAGTCCCTTACTGACTAAACCACTTTTTTTTTTTCATACTTATGGGGTGATTGGCATGAGAATTAGTGGGCATGAGTAGCACTTGAAAAACTGCTATCAATTATTTGTTTTCCAAATGTCTGTTGATCACTGACTCTATTCCAGGCTAGGCTGTTCCTATAGTGAGTAGAAACTGTCCCTACCCTCAAGTGTACAGTCTAGTGGGGGTAGCAGGTGTTCATTAAAAAACACACAACTAATGCAATTAGAGCTGAGACAAGTGCTGCCAAGGAGAAAGGCAGGTAAGTGATGCTCTGAGAAGGTGCAATGGAACTGACTTGAGGGCAGAGAACCTGTGAAAACGTGGGGAGTTAACTCCAAGCAAGGGGAACCATATGTCCAAAACCCACTACCTTCTATTCCAAACCCAAACAAGTGTATACGATTGCCTGGTCCTTCGTTCCAAGAGCTGTTCATAGAAACTGCCTCTGAGATTCTGGTGTCTGGAGTCTTTCATTCATGTAAACTAGCCTTTTGTGAAGCTCTGCTTTGCCCACACCAATAAAACCAAATGAGCAATTCCAGAAACAAATCTATATTCCACATTTGATAAGACCTATATTATTCAGCACCTAGCACATATGTGTTGAGCTGCCATTCCAAACTGGGAGGTATGTAGGCTTCTGAAAAAAAAGGAAAACTATTGAATTTTAGAGTTGTGGGGACTGGAATTAAATAATTGAGGAAGGCCTACCATACGGAGAGCTTTAAGAGTAGAAAAGAACTTTATAAAACATTAGAATCATGAAACATTAAGATAGAATGGATCTTTCCTCACTTATCTGATGTGAACAAATAGTGTATATTGCTCAAAAGTAGAAAAGTTGGGCTTTGGTGTCTCTTCAACTTAAGGAGGCTATGAATCTAAGTCTCTGTGGCTCAAAAATACATGGAACTCTTGAGAATCGAAGGGAACATGGGAGGAGGATGTGACCTACCCCTCCTTCAGTGTTCTCCATTTCTACTACCATCTTCCCAGTCACCCAAGCTTGAAAAGTGAGGAGTCACCCTGTACTCTCTTCTCCTCCTCCTCCTACATTGGTTACCAAGTCCTTGGCTCCTGCCTTTCTTATCCCTCTCCATTGCAACTGTTAAAAGGCAGTGATGTTCCCAAGAGTTATTGCTAAATGTGCCACCATATTCTTTTAACCAGGCTCCCTGGTTCACTCCACTTCCTTCAGCCTATCTACACAGCTCTTGATCCTTCAATATGTGTTTCAGAGTCCAAGAAAGAGAAAGAAATCATATACAAGTTTCACAGAGTTCAACATAAAGAGTTTTTAACTATAATGGGATTAGACTAATGGAAGATTGGCTAGTTAAGATGTAAAGAGAGCTCTAAAGTATACGGTAATCACAAATATAAGGAGCAACTACTACCCTCAAGATAGATCACCCAAGAAAGAGCTAACCTCCCAAGTGCTTGTCAAAGAGGGTGTGGCCACAGCTCATTGAGTGGTAGAGAAATTGCTGAGGTACCAGGCAGGCAAAATCCACAGTCTAGGATGCCGAAGAAGCCATTTATGAAAAGAATATGACCATGGGTGAATATTGTTCTCTGCCCAAACCTAGTGGCAGCACTCTGCTACAAAGCTTCCCAAGTGAAGTGCCAGGGAAAGGCCATTGAGCCCTGCTAGCTGCCATGTGGTATGGCAGGCAGACATGCACGAGATCACATACTGCAGGAACCAGAGGCTGGAGAAGCTGTGCACTAAGGATTGCATCACTGGAGAAACTGCATGCTCCTGATGCCTAGCAAGTGGAGCATATGGATCCTGCAAGAGAGCCTTTTCCTCCTCCAGTGTCCCTCCAGTGTCAAACTCTACCAGCAAAGTTTGATATGCCAGATGACAAAGGAGAAATATTTAAAGAACCTAGTTCCATTTTTGCTGAGAAGGGAATGCAGGGTGAATTTGGAGCTGAGAGGCAATAAACATATAAACAGCATATCAAGCTAACACCCAAATCTGATTGTGTGAGCCTATTGCTTAAATACTCTAATGGCTCCCTATTGCCTTCAAGATAAAGTTCTAAAGCCTTATCACAGCTTACCAGGCCTTTTATATTCTGGACTTGGGCTATAGTTCCAGACCTAGACCCAACCACTCCACCTCTGCCCACCCTAATCCTCCATAATTATTCACAGTTCCCTGAATTCACCACATTCTCTGATCCTCCCATACCTTTGTCTAAGGTGTTCTAGCCATTAAAAAAACAAAAACAAAAAAAACCTTCCTTGCTCTCAAGAGTAAATAGATGCTTATTGAGAACCTACTCTATACCTGGCACTAGTGTGGGAATTGACAATACAGCAATGAACAAACCAGGCTTCCCCAAGTCTCTGTTCAAATACCATCACTCTTTGAGAAGAATTTTCTGATGACTTTCTCTTACCTGCAAGTGTTAGATGTCTTATCTAGGAGACTCTGTTTTCCTGTATCTAGTGCAGACTTTTTAACACTTATCAGCTTTTCCTAACAATCTCTTCTACTAGCCCATGAGCTCTCTGAGGGCATTTATTTCTGTATCCTAGTATTTAGCACTAGTCCTGTTCCATAATATTTTATCAGATTATTTGCTCACATAATCCACATCACATCATCAATCAAATATAGGCCTAGGACAAGAATCCTGGTCTTCTGTCTAATAGCCAAGAATGCCTCTTCACTAGAGCTTTCTCTGCTCTATGGGTATTATACCTCACCCTGCTATGAAGGACAGTGCTTTTGCGTTGGAAAAGACAAGTGCAATGTTGAACATCATCATGAATGATAAAAGAAGCAGGAAAAAAATAGAGCCCTATTTTACATGGAAAACTGTGGTGCATTCCCTCAGAGCCATCACATACTTTGAGTTTCTGAATCATAGGAATGCTATAATGAAATGGGAGGTAGGGAGGGCAAGGAAAAGGATGAATATGACGTTGGGGCTATTATGACACTTCACTCTGAAAAAATGAAGGCTAATAAACTTATGAAAGATAGTGTCAAGGTGGTCCCAGTTTTGTATACCGATCCCCAAATTAGAAGATGTGTCACACAACTTTAGGGAGCACAGTTAATGTAGCAGTCTGTAAAGTGTGTCCCTGGGCTTGTGGACCATGATATGAACATGAGGGATTTGAACTATGATCATGGCTGTTTTAAGATAAATTGAAAGAGATACCTGTTCACTTGTTAAATGATAAATATGTGGAACTCCAACTTCCACAACTAGCATTATATATAAGCAATTTTGATAAATTTGCTATAACAAAGCCAAAAACTACTGCTCAAAAAAAAGGACAAGGTCAGGTAGGACAGCTCTTAGCAATATTGCTGTTGGCATCCAAATGCTAAATTGGCTTGACCATGGATCAAGCCCAGGATGGAAAAAGATCCAGATTTCTGTGAAATAAAGTTGGAGAGGCAAAGTTAATTAATATGAATAAGTTGAATAGTGGAGAACTTGGAAGTCAGGCAGGGCACCATTCTGACAAGAAAAGAAATGAAGATCCACTAAAGATTTTTGAAAGTGACATGATAAATATGAGTGGTTAAGACATATTATGTGGGAAAACTAAGCCTGAGTTTCCTGGCATTGGTAAAATGATTATAATATTAGAACCTATCTACCGATAGGGTGTTGTAAAGATTAAATGAGATCATGAATGAGCAATGACTGCTCTTAGGCCTTTCTTCTGCCGGTATCCTTTCATTCTATGCAACTGGATGGAATGTAGCTAGACAATTACAATACTGCCAGGACAAAAAAATTAGGGTGTGCTCTGATAAGTAATTTTTGTTCCACTTCAGCATTCTAAAAATGTGCTTTTTATGATACAAATGGGAATATATGGGATATTTCAGTGATGTAGGGGGACAGCAGGACATAATATTTGAAATAGACTAGGTTTGTCCTAAAGAAAATCCATAAAGTGTAAGTGCATTATTTAGAGAGAGGGAGGCAGTATAGTGTGGAAAGAGCAGTGATGTAGCACCAGATTTTTGCTTCAGATCCAACATAAACTGTTACCTTGTGCCAATGCACTCCACCTCTTTGTATGTCAGTTCTCTCATTTGTAAACTGAAGACACTGAACTATATTTTAAGTCAAATTGAACTTCCTTTTTTTTTTTAAGGTGCTCCTTTCTGTTTTCCTGACAGTTTTTTTTTATTTTATTTATTTATTTATTTGTTTTACAAATAGTTTATTGTCAAATTAGTTTCCACATAACACCCAGTGCTCATCCCCACAAGTGCCCTCCTCCATGGCCATCCCCCCTACCCCCCACATCCATCAGTCCTCAGTTTTTGTCAGCCTTCAAGAGTCTCTCATGGTTTGCCTCTCTCCCTTTCCCCCACCATTTCCCCCCTTCTTCTCCCCCTTGTTCCTCCGTCAAGTTCCTCCTAATCCTCCTATACGTGCAAACATATGATATTTGTCCTTTTCTGCCTGACTTATTTC